ATGATAAACAAAGCAGACACTACAAACTTTTCTAATGAAAAAGCGCACACTACAAACTTTTGTAGTCTCAAAAAGCGGTCACTACAAACTTTTCTAATGAAAAAGCGCACACTACAAACCTTTGTAATGACAAAAAAAGCGGACACTACAAACCTTTCTAATGAAAAAGCGCACACTACAAACTTTTGTAGTCTCAAAAAGCGGTCACTACAAACTTTTCTAATGACAAAAAGCAGACACTACAAACTTTGTAGTCAAGATAACCTTTTGACCTTAACTCTAACTTTGTAGTGTAAATCTAAGCTTTTGTAGTCTAAGTCCGACTTTTGTAGTCTTTTATAGTCTATCAGTAAACTTTGTAGTCTAAGTCTGACTTTTTTGTAGTCTATCAGTAAATTTGGTAGTCTTTTGTAGTGTATTAGTAAACTTTGTAGTCTTTTGTAGTCTATCAGCAAACTTTATAGTCTAAGTCTGACTTTTGTAGTCTTTTATAGGGTATCAGTAAACTGTGTAGTCTAAGTCCGACTTTTTTGTAGTCTATCATATCTGACTCTTATAGTAGAGCATGCACCTTCCTTTTTTGGTCATTTTTCCCATGATACAATAATTGTAGCCCTTTCTTTTAGCTTTCTGAATATACTGAAATTATGTTATTTGGTTTTGTTTTCATGGAGAAAAACACAAAAAACAAAAAAAAAACGCAACACTTTTGACATTCATGTACCTCATATCTCCACAACAGGAGCACTTCAGAACATAATTCAAACAGATTTGGGAAGCTACAGTGCAGGGCTACAACTTTGGTTTTTTGACCCCTTTTGGAGTTTGGTCATGTGACTGCTCTCCTGATTACTAAAAATTGCCAATAATATTGCCCAAGTAGCTAATGAAAATTGCAATGATGTTGCCCAAGTAGCCAATGAAATTTCCCATGATATTGCCAAAGGAGCCAATGAAAATTGCAATGATATTGCCCAAGTAGCTAATGAAAATCACAATGATATTGCCCAAGTAGCTAATGAAAATCCAATGATATTGCCCAAGTAGCTAATGAAAATCACAATGATATTGCCCAAGTAACTAATAAAATTTCCAATGATATTGCCAAAGGAGCTAATGAAAATCGCAATGATATTGCCCAAGTAGCTAATGAAAATCGCAATGATGTCGCCCAAGTAGCTAATGAAATTGCCAATGATATTGCCCAAGTAACTAATGAAAATTTCCAATGATATTGCCCAAGTAGCTAATGAAAATCGCAATAATATTGCCCAAGTAGCTAATGAAAATCACAATGATATTGCCCAAGTAACTAATAAAATTTCCAATGATATTGCCAAAGGAGCTAATGAAAATCACAATGATATTGCCCAAGTAGCTAATGAAAATCGCAATGATGTCGCCCAAGTAGCTAATGAAATTGCCAATGATATTGCCCAAGTAACTAATAACATTTCCAATGATATTGCCAAATAAGCTAATGAAAATCGCAATGATATTGCCCAAGTAGCTAATGAAAATCACAATGATGTTGCCCAAGTAGCTAATAAAATTGCCAATGATATTGCACAACCAGCTAATGAAATTTCCAATGATATTGCCCACATAATTTATGAAAATCACAATGATATTGCCCAAGTAGCATATGAAATTTCCAATGATATTGCACAACCAACTAATGAAATTTCCAATGATACTGGCCACATAATTTATGAAAATCGCAATGATATTGCCCAAGTAGCTAATGAAAATCACAATGATGTCGCCCAAGTAGCTAATGAAATTGCCAATGATATTGCACAACCAGCTAATGAAATTTCCAATGATACTGGCCACATAATTTATGAAAATCACAATGATATTGCCCAAGTAGCATATGAAATTTCCAATGATATTGCCAAAGTAACCATTGAAAATCGCAAAATGATATCACCCATGTAGCTAATGAAATATCCAATGATACTCGCCAGACAACTAATGAAAATCGCAATGATATGGCTTTGAAAAGATATGAAATTGGTAATGATAACCACAGGCTACCTTATGAGGGAGGCCCAAAACCTTGCCTACACTTAATGAAAAAGCGCAGCCTTTATGATAATGAAAAAACATGGTAACAGTAATGATTGCCTATCATAAAGAGTGTGGATGGATACACAGGGACCTATAGGCAGTTACCTGTTTTATATGATAACTAGTGGTAGCCACTAGTGGTAGCCGCAGTTTGAGAGCTAGGTGTAGCCTCAGTTTGAGAGCTTTCAGTGCTAGTAACCACGGTGAGAGGGATGTCGACCATTGTAAAGGTCCGAAAGAAGTTGCCAAAGTTCAAAAAATTAGCTGATGAATAAGAAGACCTTTTTACGCGTCAGAACAATTAAACTGGGCAGGAAGGAGAATGCAGTTCTCCTTCTCAGACCTTCGGAGACATGTATGATTGTTTGTACTTATGAGTAACAAACGCGAGATTTCGTTCTGACGCTCTAACGTTATCTTATCCGATAATGAGCTTTGTCACTTGTTCCTTGTGCTCGCTCATCGCGGAATGTTTTTAGGCTTTTTGATGGCTGAGTAAGGCTGACTAATGATGCCCAGTGAAAATTGACCCTGTGCAGATCGGGTTTCTCCAGATCAAATCGATATATTTGCCAATTTCCGGCCATCTCCCCTGTTCAGATCGGGCTCCACCGATCCATTTGGCCATTTTTTAGGGTCGATTTTCACTGGGAATGATGACTAAGGCTGACAAATTCTTATGTCAGCTTCCTCACACATGTCCTTGGGGGTCCAGGGGGCTTGCGCCCGGCGAGCTGTGACCCATGCTGAAGGAACGGCCGAGCGCCGTGCCGTAGGCATGGGTCTAAAGCTCGTCATATGTAGTGTAGGAAAGAAAGAGAGGGCTCGTGAGAGTTATCAGAATTCGTGAAGTAAGTGAGGAAGTGAGGAAGGAGGCAAGAAATTGGGCCCGCGGGAGAGAGAGGGATAGACTATGTAGGAAGGGAGGGGACAAGAAGACAACGACATCTAGATGAGATCACTGTAGGAATGAAGAACAAAACGATCAGTATCAAGCGACACAATCACAAGTAAAAGCCACAACTCACGCAACATTAAGCGGCATCTCGTCAATCTGGGTGTTATAAAACTGTTCAATATCCCTCAACATCCTCACATCATCCGTCGTCACAAAATTAATAGCAACGCCCTTTCGTCCAAACCGACCTCTACGTCCAATACGATGGATATAGTTTTCCCGATTGGTAGGCAAGTCATAGTTAATGACCAAGGAAACTTGTTGGACGTCGATACCTCGTGCGAGGAGGTCAGTCGTGATGAGGACGCGCGATGAGCCAGATCGGAATTCTTTCATTAGGACTTCGCGTTGTTTTTGTTCCATGTCGCCGTGCTAAGCAAACAACAACCAGTCTGAGATTTGGAGAGAGAGAGAAGGGAAGAAGGAAACGAACCATAGTGGTAACGGTAAACTCCCTCGAATGCATCTTCTCAGTAAGCCAATCGACCTTCCGTCGGGTGTTACAGAAGATGACGGCCTGAGTGATAGTGACCGTCTCATATGAATCACACAGCGTGTCAAGTTTCCATTCTTCCTTCTCTACAGCGATGTAGAACTGCTTGATACCCTCAAGAGTGAGTTCATCCCGCTTGACGAGGATTCGAACGGGGTCACGCATGAACTTTTTGGTGACTTCGAGGACGTCGGCGGGCATGGTGGCGGAGAGGAGGACGACTTGGGTGTCTTGTGGGAGGAGTTGGAAGACTACATTCACAGGCCGCCTGTTAGTCCCCAACAAAACGAGGTGAGAAACGAATAGAACGGACCCTCGTAAATCTGGTCCTTAAACCCACGAGACAACATCTCATCAGCCTCATCCAAGCAAAAGATCTTGATATTATCAGTCCGAAGTGCACGCCGGTTGATCATGTCGAATACGCGGCCTAGAGTCCCCACGACGACTTGAACGCCTTCCTAGAGCTTGGCCATGTCTTCGCGGACGTTGGTGCCGCCTACGCAGGCGTGGCATTCGATGTTCATGTAGTCGCCGAGGGCGATGACGACTTTTTGGATTCGTTGGGCTAGTTCGCGGGTTGGGGCGAGGATGAGGGCTTGGGTGCCTTTGATGGACATGTCCAGCTGTTTCGTTCAACCCAATCAAGGTGAGATGAGGGGGGAAAAGGCGGATGAGGGGACTACGAACCTGTTGGAGGATGGAGATGGAGAAAGTGGCGGTTTTGCCTGTTCCTGATTGGGCTTGCGCGATTACGTCGTGCCCTTTTACAACGGGGACGATGGCGCACTGTTGGATTGCGGAGGAACGTTCGAAACTGGAGTTGGTTCATCAGCCGTGTTAAGTGAGTGATTAAGGAGGAAGAGAGATGACGGACCCGTAGGCGTAGATTCCTCGGAGAAGTTCCGGCTTCAGGTCATGTTATCGAAACTGAGGCCTGAGGAGCAATCAGCGTCGTTGTAGCACTATCGGGATACATCAAAGCTTACTTGTCGACGACCTGGTCCCAATTGGATTCGATCTCATTTTCAGGGACATCCTGAAGTTGCTCTTCTCTAGAGATAAAAATGAAATAAAATGAGGGTTGGTCATGGGGAAAAAAAATTGGGTACTGACGCTGACCTGAATAAGTTGTAGTGTTATCTCCAAGTGTTGACTTTGTCATGAGTGACCGAGAGGTGTGGCTCGGCGTACCAACATGTGCTGTGTTGGCCACGCTACGATTTTCTCCTATACACATCTAGTCCCACGTGACGTGACCGAAAACAGCCCAGGCCGCTTGTCTCGTGTAAGGCATCCTTTTCAGTTTCCTCCTCACCGTCGACCACATCGCACACGTCGCCAGCCACGATGAGCAAGAAAACTATCAAATCCCAGAAGGCCAAAGTGGCCACGACGTACAACATCAACGACACGGTCCTAGGCACCAACGGTCCTCATCTACGTCTAGGTTGTGGACCCAGACAATGTCCACCCCACCGTGGCTCTCGAACGCCCTAGCAGCAAAAAAGCCACGTTCTACTGCGTCAGGTTCTTCCCTTTGGGTGACCAGTGTGTCCTTTTTTCCATGCGTTCTCCGCCCTGACGTGGCCCACACTGACACGTTGCATGCAGTGCATGGTTAGTCGAGAAAGACATCTCGAAGCTCCAACGACACGAAATTGAGTCGTACATCTCGGAGCCCCACAAAAAGTCTTCAGAGCTGTTGAATGGGTATCGCATTGCTCTGGACCCTGCGACGTGGCTCGCGGAGAAAGAGGCTATGATCCAGGATACAGTAGACATGGAGGAAAATGCTGAGATTGACCAGCTTGCGGAGACGGAGGATGGAGAAGATGAAGGGGCTGCAGGTTCGCATTTTTTCATGTTTTGTTTTATCGTCGTCGGTGACATGCTAATCCCTTAATTTACCAGGCAAGAAACAAGGGAAGAAGAGAAAACGCGAGGATGCTTCTGCATCTGTCAAAGAAAAGAAAGAGAGGAAGAAATCCGATAAACCAGCGAAAGCCAAGGCAATGAAAGACGCTGATGCTGCAAGCATTACAAGGAAGGCCAAAGCCACCAATGGCAATGGTGCCTCTAAACGTTCCAAAAAGTCCCAAGCGATGGTCGAGTCCGAGGATGAAGGTGAAGCTGAGGCGGATGCGGAGGATGAGGCTGAAGATGACGTAGATGCCGGGCCCAGCACGAAGAGCTCCAAGAAGGCCGCAGCTGCAGCGGATAAGGCTGCCGCGTCGCCCCCACCGGCGAAGAAAGCGAAACGGGACCGGGATGACGATGCAGATAAAGGTAAGTCTGCTTTCTCTCTTCATTCCTTTGTGGTTCTGCGAACCTGGTGGTTTGGCGGATCAGTGGACTGGATCGTCGGATCGCTCTGATCTCTAGCTTGTCCTCATTTTGCACTTTCTCGTTGTTGCCATAACTTCTCTTATTGCCCCTCTTTTTCCCTCTTCATCTTCTTTGAATGCGCCAGACCCTTTTTCTGCCATTTTCCCCCCGTCTGAGGGCTATGCTTTGCCAATACCCCCTTCCTTGACCTTCTCCACTCTTTTCACGGGATTGCCTCCCGCAACCAACCCCATTTATGTCCTCTTTTTACGCTTTTGACTTCGTTCGATGTCCTCTGATGTTCCTCCCTTTCTCTTATATCTCTCTCTTCTCTTCTGTCCGCCTCTCTCTTGCTTGACCTTCCTTTTCTCTCCGTCGTGGCCCATATTTTGCCTTCTCCCTTCTTCTCGCATTCATTTTCACCCTATAGCTGCTTTTTCCCTACAAAAGCACCTTCCTCACCCTTCCCTTCTTTTTCTCGTTTCTGGCGCCTTTCCTTATCCGAGGATATACGTACGGCGGCACACTCCCCGAAAGGGGATAAGGCTCATCCTCGACACTGTGTCGAGGATGAGAGGATGAGCAACTCAATTGGACACATCCCAATTGGTGAGGTGACGAACTCGATGTCTCTTCTCACAACCACGACCATCGACGATTGGCCACCAGGACCCACCGCCACGATCCCCACGAACGTCCATGGGCGCTCAGCACCACCATCGACGAACGGCGATGATGGCCCACCACGAGCTCTGACGATTGGCCACGAGGACCCACCACCACGATCGACAGGCGCCCACGAACGGCTACGAGCGCCCACCACCACGATCGACGGACGACGACGAGCGCCCACCAACATCCATCCGGCCTACCACCATGATCGACAAACGGCCACAAGAGCCCGTCACCACGATCAATCACTGGCCAGTGCCTGCCATGACGAACAGCCATGGTCATCACCACCTTCGACAAACGGCCACGGTCGCATACCCCATATTAGCGGCCACAGCGGAAAACCCTCGTGACGCCGACCCAACATAACCCAACGCCAGCGTTTACGACCAACACCAACGTGTTGAGCCGAACGCCAGCGTGTACAACCAGCCCCGACATACGAAGACAACCTGAACACGAGCCCAAATCCCCATCCAAACGCGGACGCCCGCCCAAATGCGACTGTGAACCAAACACGAACACCAGCCCGAACGCGAGTACCCCCACCACGTCCACGTCAAATGAAGCGAGGCACGACACGACATGCACCCACTGTTCGCCATCAGTGCGGGGAGTCGAGGTCTCAGTATCAGGGAGAGGGCATGCAGCCTGGACAGGGTAGTGCGGGGATCTTTTGATTGGCAAGGGGTTGTTATTGAAGGGGAGGTGTCCCTACCTCGCTCCTTCCTTCCTACTTCTACGTAGTAGTTATTGTTTTTCTCGTAGACAAGGAATATATATCATACTGCCATTTAACCGAGTACAGAAGGACTTGTATAAAAATAAAAAAAGAAGATTTGAAGTTGGCCAGATCAGCACGCACGTATCTATGTTCGACACATCTGATATCATCCTTTTCCGCAGTCCTGGTGACTTTCGAATGTTACTCCAGGGCACCACTTTTGTCTGCTTTTGAATGGGGGCAAACTCTTTCAATGAGGTTGTTCTTCGGATCTTGTTCCCTTTTTACTACTTCTTTTCCTTCATCGCATGCTTTACGATCTTCAACTACCCTTTTCGCACCGCTATCACCTTCCAACCACTTGTCCTGTTCGATTCTCGCCATGTCAGAAACTAACCTCCGTTCCTCTCTTTCCAGCTAAAGGCTCTGAAGACAATGAATCAATTAAAGTGCGTGATTGGCAGCACAGACTGCAGAAGACCTTCTTGAGCAATAAGTACTAAGTCGTTACCCAAAGAAGAGGTGGGTATTTTTTTTGCCTTCTTTCCTGGTTCTTCGGCTACCACTCGGGGTTGACTTTTTGTGCCGTCTCCTCCCCCCTTCTCTCTTTTCCACATCCCGTCATTCGCTTCATCCAAATTCCTTCTCTAGCTCCTTCTCCCTTGCTCGCATCCCCACTTTCACTGCTCCGCTTCCGGTCCTACCATTCCAGCCGTTGCTGACCCACTTTGTTTCACAGGAAATGCCAAATCTCAACGACCTTTTCAAGACAGTGGAAAACTACGAAGGCATGACGATCGAACAAATCCAGGTATGTTTTTGTTGTTGTCATTCAAGCTTCACTCTTCGTCCCTTAGCTTTGATTGGATTACCTTCGTGATCTGTTTATGGAGTTCATTTTCCATGCTTCATTTTCGCTCTACCCTTACCGATACTGATGGTGCTCCCTTCAGTTCTCGAAAATCGGAAAGATTCCGAAAGGGACTCGTACAAGGAGCTCATCTTCTCAAACACCATCCAGTCAATGCGGTCCGTTTCCCCCCATCTCGTTGTATATGTCTGCGCAGGCTAACCAACATCGGACAAAAGGGCAATCCTCGAAGCCCTCCCACAACTCGACCTAACCCTCGCACCGCAAAACGACGCCCGCCGCGCAACCATCATGGCCCTCCCCATGCAAATCGAAGCCGACATCCTCCCGCGGGACGTCGTCGACGCCGTCCGTTCCCTCTGGCGCGACCCAGGCGTCAAAGACGCCGTGCGCCGTTCCCGGGAGTTCCAGTTGAACGATTCAGCGGTGTACTACTTCAACTCGATCGATCGGATGGCTGCGACGAATTACATCCCTACCGACCAGGATATTTTACGGAGCAGAGTGAAGACGACGGGGATCACGGAGACGACGTTTAAAGTTGGGGAATTGACGTATAAGTTGTTTGATGTGGGTGGACAGAGGAGTGAAAGGAAGAAGTGGATACATTGTTTTGAGAATGTGACGGCGTTGGTGTTTTTGGTTAGTTTGAGTGAGTATGATCAGATGTTGTATGAGGATGAGAGTGTGGTATGTTCCTTTTTCTTCTTCTCTCTCTTCTTACCGCTCACTTTTTTTGACAGAACCGTATGCAAGAAGCACTCACCCTCTTCGACTCGATATGCAACTCCAGATGGTTCGTCAAAACATCAATCGTACGTCCCCCCTTTCCTTCCCTCCCCCTCCCCCTTCTCCAACTAACCTAACACCCCCTCTCCCCAAAAGATCCTATTCCTCAACAAAATCGATCTCTTCGCCGAAAAACTCCCCCGCTCACCGTTAGGGGATTACTTCCCGGACTATGCAGGCGGCGACAACTACGACGCGGCGTGCGATTACCTCTTGCACCGTTTCGTTTCCCTTAATCAGAGCGCGGCGACGAAGCAGATTTATGCGCATTATACGTGTGCGACGGATACGCAGCAGATCAAGTGTACGTTTCCCCCTTTTTCTTGAGAGTTTTGACTGATGCGGAATTGGATGAATAGTTGTGTTGAGTGCGATTCAAGATATATTACTTCAGCTCCATTTACGGGAATGTGGGCTGCTGTAAACCTTCGCGCCGTCTTGGCTCCCTCTCTCTCGTCTTGCTTGTTCTCATGGCGATTGCTTTTACCCACAACCAACTCAACACCCCTGCTATAATGATACCTACCCCCCTGT